AGTAACGTAAGGTAAGGAAACGCCATCAGAGGAGCCGTCTGCCCCGGCAGCATCAGGTCTTCCACACTAAGTCAGGGTGCTCAGTGGAGGGGGAGCATAGACCCCCACCTATAGAGCGCCCAGGAAGCTACAGTTGACCACCGCTCCCGGGACAGAGGGCCCCTACAGAGGAAACACTGGATTAAAATGAGTAAAAATATAATAAAAGAGCTAATATAAATGACAAAAGTTCGAAAATAAGTAATAAATAAAATCATATAGACAGTAAAATAATAATATTAAATAATAAAACTGTGCTAAAATATAATCATATAAAACATGCAAAGCAAGCAATAAAATATAATCATGTAAAACGAGGAATAAAACTGTAGTAAATGTTTACATAAAAGCCAACCTAAAAAGATGGGTCTTGAGCCTGGACTTAAAAACATGAACGTTCTCTGCGGCCCTGAGGTCCTCTGGCAGCTCGTTCCAGAGGCGAGGGCCATAACACTGGAAGGACGCCTCGCCGTGAATGTGTGTCCTGACTTTAGGGATGACCAGGAGACGCCTGCCAGAGGAGAGCAGAGGCCGTAAGGGTTCATATGGTAAAAACAGTTCTGAGAGATAAGAAGGCCCAAGACCGTTAAGACACTTAAAAACCATTAGAAGAACCTTAAAATGGATCCTGAGATATAGTCCCTCCAGCATTTCCTGGGTCTCTCTTTAGGTCTCCTCTCAGTATGACGTCACCGGAAAACCTCACTGGGAAGGCGTCTAGGAGGCATCCTAATCAGATGACCGAGCCACCTCAACTGGCTCCTCTCTATGCGGAGGAGCAGCGGATCTACTCCAAGCCCCTCCCAGATGTCCCAGCGTCTCACCCCGTCTCTAAGAGAGAGCCCAGACACCCTGGGGAGAAAACTAAATTTGGCCGCTTGCATCCACGATCTCGTTCTTTTGGTCACTACCCAAAGTTCAAGACCATAGGTGATGGTAGGAACGTAGATCGACCGGTAAATCGTGAGCTTTGCCTTCCGGCCCGGCTCTCTCTTCACCAAAACAGATCAGTACAATGCTCACATCACTGCAGACGCAGCACCAATACGCCTATTGATCTCATGCTCCAGCTTTCCCTCACTCGTGAACAAGACCCCAAGATAGTTAAACTCCTACACTCGGGGCAGGACCTCATCCCTGACCTGGAGAAGGCATTCTACCCTTTTCTGAATCAAGATCATGGTCTCAGATTTAGAGGAGCTGAGTCTCATCCCAGCTGCTTCACACTCAGCTGCGAACAGATCCAGCAAAAGCCGGAGGTTACGTTCTGATGAAGCCAACAGGACCACATCATCTACAAAAAGCAGAGACCCAATCCACAGGCCACCAAAATGGATTCCCTCAACATCTTAGATGCACCTTGAAATCATGTCCATAGAAGTTATGAACAGAATCGGTGACAAAGGGCAGCTTTGACGGATTCCAACTCTTACTGCCGGCAATGCAGACCAAGCTCTGACACCGGTCATACAGGGACCTAACAGCCCATTAGGGGCTGGTGCCCCATACTCCCGAAGTACCCCCCCCCCCCCCCCCCCCCCCCCCCCCCAGGGCCCGCTGAGGGACGCAGTCGAAGCCCTTCTCCAAATCCACAAACACATGTGGATTGGCTGCATGGGCGAACTCCCATGCAATAGAATATAATAGAATAGAATATAAAAATCAAAAAATAATATCACAATTAGAGTCATCATAAACATGAACAATGTAAAAAAATAAAAAAAATATACAAAAGATAAAAGAATAAACAAAGCTCAAGGTTTAACACACAAATTAATAATCTTAATGAGATATTTGCATTTTACACATTCTTCAGTGATTTCTTTCAAGGTAACAACTAAACTTACCTATTCTTCAATCATGTTCTTTTTCACTAATAGGGTTTAACATTTGCTTTGTAATTTTTAAACACATGAAAGAAGGTGTTTGTATGGGTAGCATCACCTTCCCACCACTTCATTCAGTTCTGTTGTGTGTCAGTTCTTCACACTTTAAAATTATATTGACTTTCAAAGTCATCATGGTGAAATAACTAAATGAAATGTTTCAAAGATGGAGCTTATATTTTAGCTGGGGTATTCAATTCCAGTCTTGGAGGGCCAGTATCCAGCACGCTTTAATGGTTTATCTGCTCAAACACACTTGATTCAGTGGTTGAATCACCTGTGCGTCAGCTCATCAGGCTCTACAGGAGTCTGTGTATACCTGCTGTTTGAAATCAGGTGTGTTGAAGCAGAGTTAAAACTAAAATGAGCTGGATACTGGTCCTCCAGACCTGGAATTGTTTTAGTTCAGGCATTACCAAATCAGTCCTTGATGACTATCGGCATGCAAATTTGAGCTGTTTTGCTGCTCCAACACACCGGATTCAATGTCTTTTTTTTATGTATTAACAGCACTTCTCTGTCTTTCTTACAGATAATGGAAAGTGATTGTGTAGAAATGATTTAAGAAAATGCTTCATGATAAACACTAACACATTTACACCTTTTTCACTAAACTCCATGAATTAACTTATAAATTTTAAATTATGATGCCTAAAAGTAGCTTCTTGTTTATCAGACTAGTGATCAGAGAATAGTGATCAGAGAATAGTGATCAGAGAATAGTGGTCAGAGAATAGTGATCAGAGAATAGTGATCAGAGAATAGTGGTCAGAGAATAGTGATCAGAGAATAGTGATCAGAGAATAGTGGTCAGAGAATAGTGATCAGAGAATAGTGGTCAGAGAATAATGATCAGAATTGAGATGCCAGCAGGTGCAAGGGGGCCGGTTTGAACCATGCCTATGGGAGTGATAACTGCTAATTTGAACATTTAATGTATTTATTTGTAAAAAAAAATAATATTTAAATCATAAGTGTGTAAATTGTAGTGACAATGGCGTAATTTGCAGGTGTGTGGAGAAGGAATTACGGAGGCTTCATACTGAGTAACAAATGCAATTTTTTGTGAATTATGAAAATGCGCTGCCGCTACATCGTCACATCGGTTTTAATGCTTTTCTGCAGCATGGCAGCTAGCTTTAGTCAGCATTATACATAAATCTCATTGAAACGTCAGATTCTGCAACGCTAACCCTTCTCCTTAGTCTGGTTAGCTTGCAGAGTCCTCTTCATGTCCACCCAGTGTAAGACTAAAAACCTTTGTTCCAGAGCAGCTTTGTGCCTATCATGGTGCACGATGAATCACTTTCAGTCACAGACGCAGTTTTTCTCCAGTTCTTGTTGTCCCCATCTCAGTGATTTCTATTTGTGTTAATCCCATGTTAGTGACTCAAAGCATAGAGTAAAATCCTGAAGACGTGCGCAGCCTGTTTAACTCCAGAGTTTGACCTCACCGCCTATGTTGATGGTGTCCTCAGCAGCTAATGGATCCAGACGTGAGTCACCTGAGATAACTGATGCATGCCATGTTTGACCCCAACAAAGCAGCTTATTCTCAGCCAAGGATTTTAGCTAGCTAAGTTAGTAATCCACAGGACTAACATCCCTTCCTGCACCTGGACTGACCTTTTCACTAATGCACTTTGTTTAATTGCTTAATGAAGTGATATTTTAAAAATAACAGTTAAATTATATTTGTCGGGATCAGAAACGTTTATCTAAACATGTAACGCAAATGTCAGGCAGGCCAAACATCTAATGTGACCAATCAGTTAATGTACAAATTATTTTGCAGTCCGCTGAACTAGAGACCGATAGAAGTAAGGAGCAACCGAGGACCAACACCTTAGAAGATATGGAGGTTTTATAGTAAGTAAGTAACCTTTATTTCTATAGCACCTTTCACAGATAAAAATCCCAAGGTGCTTCACATTAAAACAGAATAAAATACATTAACAAAAACCAACACGAGAATAAGACAAGCAATAAAATTATGTAAAAGAAACTAAAAAATCCAAGTTTTAAAGAGATTTTAAAACACGTAAAAGGAATCAACACAACGTAGAGCGAGATGAAGATCGTTCCACAGCCGGAGAGCCATAGCCTTAAAGGAGTGGGTCTTTAGGTGAGTTTTAGGGACCACCAGGAGCATCTGAGCTTCTGATCTCAGGCAATGTTTGGGAGTGTAGATTTGCACCAAATCAGTTATGTATGAAGGTGCTTGTCCATGCAAAGCTTTAAAAGTTAAAGATATGATTTTAAAATGAACTCTAAAATTTACAGGAAGCCAGTGGAGTGACTCCAGGACAGGAGTAATGTGGGAACGTTTCTATCCAATCCTAGTCCTTGAGGCCAGTTTCCTGCATGTTTTATTTGAATGGATGAGTTATTAAAATGGTTCTGCTGAACTTGAGAGCATGCTGAACTGGCAATTCAGTCATCGGTTCTGAAATGTTGGAGCAGAGAAAATCATGGTTGTGGAGCTCAAAGGCAGGGATTACACATTCCTTTTGAATATGTTTAGATTAGCTTTTTTTAAAGAAATAACCTTTGAATTCAAACCTACTAAAAGGCAATGAATGGTCTACACAAAATGCATTATTTAAATGGTTAAGATGGCTAACCATGGCTAGCTGCTTCACATATAATCTGAGTCTAATAAACCCATGCAGACATTGATATGATTGACATAAATAAAATCTGATGATGTTCATTTAACATGCAAGAAACCAATACAGACAATAATTTAAACATTTTTTCCATCTGAGCTTGATATGCAATATCAGAGTTGAGAGTAGTTGTTAGCCATGTAAAAGAAGGGTTAGGGCTGTGAGATATTAAAGTCCCATCAGTTGTCACACACGGGTGTCTGCTGAAATTTGTCCTCTGCATTTGACCCATCATGACAGGAGCAGTGAGGTGCAGACACGGCTGTGCTCGGAAGCATTTTGGTGGTTTAACCCCCAAATCCAACCCCTTTAAATCCTTATGTATTTAACACATTCTTATTCAAGAGACCTTGCATGCAACAGTTGCAACAATCATCATTCTAACCAGTCTTTGACAACAGGAAAGTAGTCATTAAGTAGATTTTAACTGAGTCAGCATAATAATGGCCAAAGAATCCTTGTTAAACCGCTGGGTCTTAATAAAGAAAAGGAAAAAAAATGTTAGTATAAAACCACAACAACCATAAAAACATCATTGTTCATTACAGATTGACACTTTATAACAAGAAGGCTGTTAAGTTGCATTAGCGAGTGATGGATACATGCACCATTGAGTTATAGTAGAAATTCTGATCTATGATGGCATTTACACACAGAACCATTAGCTTGTAACTGGTAAAGCAGAATATTGTGTAATAAACAGTGATTAAAGTCTTGATTAATGATTATAATTAATGCGGAAACACATTTTTTTACAGCAGCAAAAGTCCAACAAAGGCTACACAGAAACAAATCTCACACTTGCGCAATCTTGGAAAGTATGGAGGATAAGAGGTGTTACAGAAATATGAAAAGACATTTGGGTTCAAGCAATCGTTTTTTTTTTTTTTTTTTTTTTTGTCATCACAGGAAAGGCCAATGTGATTGGACACTCAAAAGTGTGCACTCTTCCTCCTCTGCTCCAGAAACCATCCAGTGGGGTTCATGTCCAACCTTAACATGCTGAGGACCCACGGGTCCTCCTGGGCTCCTTTGATGAACTCTTCTATGCTGACTGCACCTGTATAAAATAAGCATCCCACATGACGAATATCCACTATACAGGGATTTTTTACTTCACTCCATGCTTACCATCTCTATCCACATCAACGGCATCTAATATCCGATCCACAACTTCATCCACTGTGGGATTTGAATTAGTCATCTCTGTTTTTGATCCTTTCTTAATTCTGTGGATACTCTGAAAAAGAGGAAGAAGATCTTATAACAACCACAACAATGTATAACAACTTTAAATGTTACTGGGTCAACTTGTTCTGCAGCTGGGTAGGTGATGCACTGGTCTAGCCAGTAACTGCCCTGATTTTAGATACATTTGATGTGATAAATCAGATATTCTCACTCAGTCTTTAGACACTGCTGAGTGTGTAAACAGCACATTTATATTTACTGCATATTTAGTTTATCTTATTTCTGCCTCAAAATATGGTTGCTCCAGATTTCAGGATTCTTGTTTTTCTTTAAAGTAGCTTTTTTCATGTATTTACAATCAATATTATTTATTTATTTTTGTATAGACATTATTATTATTATTATTATTATTATTATTATTATTATTATTATAAATTATTATTTATTTGTTAAAGTGGCATTGTTTCCAAGGCAATGTTGATTTCTAAAAAAAATAAACTTTCCTATAGTTTGATTTTACCTTTGTTGTCTTAAAGAGGTCTTAAGCGGAGTGGTGTGGAACCTCCAGGTAGTCTGAGGCTTACCTGACATCAATCAAATGATTTGGATTTGGAGGAGTTCCTACAGAGAAGTCAAACTAACTTCTACCCAAAAACACTTTGATCTAAAAACAGAAATTTAACATCTAAAAACAACCCTAACACAATTTTCCTGTATTTTAATTAAACGCTTATTAAAGGTGTCGTTCACTCGTCAGTCTCCAGTAGGAATTAAATCATTGTAAGTCGTACTCTGGGGGTGTGCCTGTTTCAGGAACTAGAAGTGAGCCACATCAGTCTTATTTCCTGATATTTGGACGTCTCACCTCTGATTGGCTAACTGCATCACTACTCTACCACTGACTCTATTTGCTTTGCAGCCTTGATGTTTTATCAAGGAGTTCTGCTGTGTGGTGAAGGTGCTAATGCTAATGGTTAGCTTCTACCAGTCAAGACATTCGTTGGTGCTCCCTGGATTATAAACCAACAACAGCTTTTCCCGTCATGAGTCAAGATGGGTGAGTCCATGAATGTTAAGTGGCAGTGTGAAATAAATTCACATTGAGTGTCCTTTGTGTAGGAAATGGGCTATATAAATAAAGCTGTCTTGTCTTGTCATAAATCTGTCAGTCTTTGCAAATCCTAGAGTTTCAACATCTATTTTCTATCTATTGTTGTTTGTTGCTGCTGGGCTGATTTTGATTTGTTTTGTTTTTATGTTGGATGGATAAATAAGGTGCAATATTTAAAAATGACACATTGAATACATGAAGACCTGCATAATGTTGCATGTTTGCTTTGTTGATAGGTATGTGAATCATTGCAAAATACAGGGGTAGGAATCTTATAAGTTCTTACTTCATCCTACTCCCTTTTGAACTTTTTATGTTAGTATATGTGCAAACTGATGCATATAACATATAATGTTATTTGTCTTGAATAAGTAATAGGTGTATTATTTTATTCCATTTCTTTTTTATTTGTTTGAAATAAATAAATAAATAAAAATAAACAAATGCAGGCTAGGTGTGAACAATGTTTTAGCTCAGACTACTGGGTCAGTCATTGTGCTTGAGTTGTTTTAAGATGGGGGAGTCTTGTTTAGGCTCTAGCCCAGTGGTCTGGAGCACTTGGTGTCCAGAAAGCCATTTTTCCCTTCAGTCAACCAGAAAAAAAACTTGTTTAGAGCTGCACCTGCTATAGAATCTTTGCAAGAGAGACACTTTAAAACATTTTTTAATGGAAATCTACGGAAGAGGACTCAAATACAATTTTGCTTTTGCCACAGGTAAATGAGAGCAATACAAGAATTAAAAGAAAAAGGTCAGAAATCTAAGATTAGAATCAGGATATTGGGACTGAAGTAAACATTCTAACTTTTCCCCAGAGAGATCAAAATCAAATCTACCCCAAACCAGCTATCTGCTGTTTTTGAAAAACCACCATCTCTTTTCTCTTCTTAAGTTTTGCCGAAAAGGTATGGACATTTTTTCTTCAAGATGTTTATATTTGTGGAAAAGTTTAAAAAAACTAGCCGAGAACTCTAGTCAGACTTTAGCAGAAGCAAAATGATTTTGCTTTGCAGGCTGGTCTAGCCATGCTCCATTAAAACCTCAGCAGGCTCTGATCAGTCTTGTGTCTTACCAGTTTGGTGGGTGGGATGTTACTATGAATGAGCGAAATAACAAAGATGGCGACGGTTTGTTTGAAATGGCTTTGGCATCAACTTTGCACTATTTAGTCTTGGGCTTTTCTGTAGCTGTTTTTACATAACAATGCCTTCAATTTGCCACAACGTTGTGACGGCATCATAGAGCCTTAGATCGTTTATAAGTGGTCAGACCGTGGCAGTAATGTGTCCTTTTTACAAAATGTTAGACAATGGTGGTATAAAGGGGTATGGGGTGATCTCTGTGTTGGCGCAGATTTCCATTTCTCTCGGATATAACTTGTTTTTATTGCGATCAAAGCCATGCTCAGTACATCTTTTTAACAAGCTGCAACTAAAGGTGTCTGTTCTCCACACTCCCAGTGCAGTCCCTGGTGATCTGACCTCCAGCTCTAATGGAAAGAAGTTCCAGGAGCACGGCATCGCTTCAGTTTAACATCTCAGCTGGTTCTATATACAAAAGCTTATGGCCCATTTTAACTTACATTTTCAATATATTTGCTGGCCAGAGCTTGGCAATAATTCCCCACATGATCATGATACTTCCTTCTGTGGCGCCAAGGCACAATCGCCGGTTATGAGACTAACAGTTACTGCAATATTACTACCAAGCGAGGCAGAAAAAATGCTGCAAAATTCGCTTATCGCCATGCCGGCATGGCGCGTTCGTAAGACACATCGTTGCAGTAATATTACAGTGATATGCCAGCACGGTGCGTCTTGTAAAAAGGGCTTTTGAGTCAAGAGCAGAGGTACTTGAGGTATTTACGTCTTCTTTGACAGTGAATGATGGACTGTCCTGTTGACTGACATCCATAGCTGTGAAGGCCCTAGATTCCACTCCACGACTGATATATTTCTATGTGTCTTGGCCATACTATAGTTATCTAGAAAGGCTACCCAGATTAGTAAAAAACATAAATAGACACCACATGTCACTGATACTTTTGGTGTAATCTTATTGTGGATAATTCAATACAATTAATCAATTAAAAACACTTTCATAATTTGTACATTTGAAAACCTGTTTGTTTTAGCACTCATCTAGCTATTGAGAACCATCATAGAAACATCAAAGAAGCACTTGTGACTCCAGAGCCGCAGATTGCAGACCTCTGCTCTAGTCTGACTCTACAACTGCTCTTGCTTCTACCATGTAGGCATGGAAAATACTCACTCTATAATTACCACAAGGCGAAAGTGAATAACGTCTAAAACCTGATTATTGGTTAAAAAGCAAAAGTTTGCATCCAAATATTCACAAATAATTTACAAGACAAATGAAAGTTTCTGCCAGGGAAGAAGTCCTACAGTGTTTTTTGATACCAACATTCTTTTTTTTTTATTATTTTTTTTTTGTATTTCACTGATCGACAGTTAATGTAGGCACAAAGGAAGAACGTCAAATTCCATACCATGTTGTAAACATAAATAAGTAAGGTGAAAGTTTGAAATAATAAAAAAAAAAGAAACCTACATCAATTATTGACCGAAGCTCGCTTCTATCCACGTAGCCATTACCATCTTTGTCGTACACCTTGAATGACCATCGCAGCTTATGCTCCAAGTCCCCTCGGAAAACAAGATTAAGTGCCGCCACAAACTCAAGGAAATCAATTGTGTTGTCCTAAAACACAAGTTGAAGAACAACAGCTGGCTTAAACACTAAACATTTTGGTATGATCGACTGTAATAAAAGTTATTTTCTCACCCCATTTTTGTCAAAAGCTCGAAACATGTTCTCTGCATAATCCGATGCTTCTCCAGTTGCGTCCACCCCAAAGAATCGCTTAAATTCATGCAGAAACAGAACTCCGCTTGGACACTCTGTGACAAATTTTTTATACATATCCTGAAGAGCTTTGACATCAATCCCCTCACTGCACTCTGAGTGCTGTGTTTGCCCCATAACTAAACCCAACAGCCCATGGTTAGGTGATCATCTCCATTACTGTGTAGCCTCAGTCAATGTGGGCATCCCTTCCTCTAAGGTGTCTTTTTTTTGTGTGTGTAAGCCTTTGGAATCCTCTTCTGGATCCATTCCATTTGTGCATGACCCAAGTGATTACTGTAGCCTTGGGATTAGTGAGGAATTATGTGGATAGATCTTCCCCTATTTGGGTTACTGTGGTTTGCAGTTAAATACTGACCATGTCCAAGTTTGTAGTTGCAGCCCTGAATGGCACTATTGCCTTTACAGGTCTTCACAGCAATAAACTACTACTACTACTACTACTAAACTTTATTTATATAGTGCCTTCACATGGCCCAAGGACCAAACAAAGTGCTGCACAACAGAAATGAACATGAAGAAATAAAAACATATAAAACCATTTAAAAACCAACAAAAACATGTAGATACAATCTAGGTGGGGGAGCAAAAAGTGCAAAGCCCCCCATTAACGAGACTTCTCTTGAGTAAAAGACTAAGAATAAAAGTGTGTTTTCAGACAGCTCTAAAAATTGCCGAGCGTGGTGGCCTGTTTGACACATGTAGGTAGCTCATTCCAGAGCCTTGGCCCCAGTACTGAGAAAGCACGACCCCCTCAAGATTTTAGTCTGTGTTTGGGAACGACCAGCAGTCCTTGCTGAGCTGACCGAAGATTCCTTGAAGGAACATAAGGATGGATCAAATCTGATAGATATTGTGGCGCCAACTTGTTTAAACATTGAAAAACAAACACCAGAACTCTAAATGAATTTCTAAAGGAGACTGGAAGCCAGTGTAGGTATGCCAAGACAGGGGTGATGTGTTCAGATCTCCTGGTACCAGTCAGTAACATGGCTGCTGCATTTTGGACCTTCTGTAGTTTCGCTATGGAGGCCTGCTTGATGCTTGCATAAAGCGAGTTACAGTAGTCCAGTCTGGTGGTAATGAAGGCGTGGATGACAGTTTCCAGATGTTTGCGTGAAAGAAACAACTTAATCCTAGCTATTCTCCTGAGATGGAAGTAGCAGGATCTGATTGTTACATTGACCTGGCTGTCCAGTCTGATCTCTACATCCAACTTCACCCACAGATTGGTTACCACAATCCCTTGGGCACATCCATGTGTGTTTTTCGAGTCAAACGGGATAGTCTCAGTTTTATTTTGGTTGAAGAACAGAAAATTCTGAGTCATCCATAATTTGACCTCCTCCGAGCCGTCCAAGAGTGGTTTAAAAGAACTTGAGTTATTGCGTGCTAGTGGTGGATAGGTTTGACAATCATCCGCATACAGGTGAAACTTGATGTTGTGCCGATGAAACAAGTCACCCAGCGGCAGCAGATATAGGGAAAAGAGGAGGTGGGCCAGGACGGATCCCTGAGGCACTCCACACTGCAAATCAGCAGTATCAGATGAACAGTCCCCCAGTCTTACAAAAAAATTCCTCCCTGAGAGGTAAGATTTTATCCACTGGAGTGCTAAGCCTTATATTTCCACCCAGTGCTCCAGTCGACCAACCAGGATATTGTGGTCTATGGTGTCAAATGCAGTGGCCAGGTCCAAAAGTAATAAAATCACTGCCTCCCCAGAATTGTTTGCCATCAGGATATCATCCAAAACCACCAACAGGGCTGATTCTGTACTATGGAGAGACTTAAACCCAGACTGAAAAACCTCTAGTATCCCATTTTCATGTAGAAGTGACACCATTTGGGCATACACAAGCTTTTCTTTTTGGTGAGGCCATGGAGAAAGACTATCGATCGGCTCCAAAGAGGTTCTGGCAAACTGTCTGGCGCCTCAGGAGAGGAAGGCAGCAACTCGCTCACACTATTTACATTGGGGATGGGGAGCTGCTGACGTCAACTGAGGCTATAGTCGGACGGTGGAAGGAATACTTTGAGGAGCTCCTCAATCCCACCTATGCGCATTCCGAGGAGGAACCAGAGCCGGAAGACCTGGGGATGGACTGTCCAATCTCGGGGGCAGAAGCTGCTGAGGTAGTCAAACAACTACACAGTGGCAGAGCCCCGGGGACAGATGAGATTCATCCTGGGTATCTCAAGGCTATGGATGTTGTAGGGCTGTCATGGTTCACAAGTCTCTGCAACATTGCGTGGTCATTGGGGGCAGTTCCTGTGGAGTGGCAGACCGGGGTGGTGGTCCCCATCTTTAAGAAGGGTGACCTGAGGGTGTGTTCCAACTATAGGGGGATCACATTTCTCAGCCTCCCTGGAAAGGTCTACTCCAAGGTACTGGAGAGGAGGGTCCGATCGATAGTTGAATCTCAGATTGAGGAGGAGCAATGTGGTTTTCGTCCTGGGCGTGGAACTGTGGACCAGCTCTATACCCTTGCAAGGGTGATGGAGGGGGCATGGGAGTTTGCCCAACCAATCCACATGTGTTTTGTGGATTTGGAGAAGGCTTATGACCATATCCCCAGGGGCACCCTGTGGGGGATGCTCCAGGAGTATGGGGTGGGTGGCTTTCTGTTAAGGGTCATTCAGTCCCTTTACCAGAGGAGCGTGAGTTTGGTCCGCATAGCCGGTAGTAAGTCGGACTTGTTCCCGGTGAGGGTTGGACTCCACCAGGGCTGCCCTTAGTCACCGGTTCTGTTCATTACCTTTATGGACAGAATTTCTAGGTGCAGCTGTGGTGTGGAGTGTGTCGAGTTTGGTGGCAGGAGAATCTTGTCTCTGCTTTTTGCGGATGATGTGGTCCTCCTAGCTTCATCCAGCTCTGACCTTCAGCTCTTGCTGGGTAGGTTCGCGGCTGAGTGTGAAGCGGCTGGGATGAGGATCAGCACCTCCAAATCTGAGACCATGGCTCTCAACCGGAAAAGGGTGGCTTGCCAACTCTGGGTCGGGGGAGAGGTCCTACCTCAAGTGGAGGAGTTTAAGTATCTCGGGGTCTTGTTCACGAGTGAGGGTAGGAGGGATCAGGAGATCGACAGGCAAATTAGTTCAGCATCTGCATTGATGCGGACGCTGAGCCGATCTGTCGTGGTGAAGAGGGAGCTGAGCCAGAAAGCCAGGCTCTTGATTTACCGGTCGATCTACGTCCCAATCCTCACCTATGGTCATGAGCTTTGGGTAATGACCGACAGAACGAGATCGCGGATACAAGCGGCCGAAATGAGTTACCTCCATAGGGTGGCCAGGCTCAGCCTTAGAGATAGGGTGAGGAGCTTGGACATTCAGGAGGGACTCGGAGTAGAACCGCTGCTCCTCCAGATTGAAAGGAACCAGTTGAGGTGGTTTGGGCATCTGGTCAGGATGCCTCCTGGATGCCTCCCAGGGTAGGTGTTTCGGGCATGTCCTGTTGGCAGGAGGCCTCCGGGTTGACCCAGGACACGTTGGAGAGGTTACATCTCCAATCTGGTCCGGGAACGCCTTGGGGTCCTGCCGGAGGAGCTGGTGGAGAAGGCCGGGGAGAGGACGGCCTGGAGCTCCCTAGTTGGGATGTTGCCCCCGCGACCCGGACCCGAATAAGCGGAGGAAGATGACGATGACAAGCTTTCCTAAGACCTTAGCTAAGAAAGGCAGTGTGGAAACTGGCCTGTACTTAAATACATTTGACAAATCTAGGCCAGCTTTCTTCAGCAGAGGGTGCACTACTGCATGTTTGAAAGAGCTGGGAACTTCACCAGATGGTAGGCTGCTGTTTATAATTTCCAGAACATAAGCAGACACAACTGAAAAAACTTCTTTTAGCAGTTTAGCAGGGATTGCGTGCATTACAGATCCAGATGATTTCAGTCTTTTGACCATCTTCTCCAACTCTTTGAGAGATGTTGGATGAAAGCTCTCCAGGAGCCCTGGGACAGGACCCCAAAGAGGAAGGTGGTAATTGGAGGGTGTGATCAAAGCCTTCGTCCTCCCCACTCTGTCAGCAAAGAAGTTGAGAAAATCATTGCAGGATTCTGTAGTGTACTCAATACCCAGCGGTTCATTTGCATTTAAGATAGAATCTAAAGTGTTAATAAGAATCCTCACGAATCAATATTTAGCAAGTTAAAAATGACACTACATCTATTTATGTATGCCACTGGGTCTAGATGCTAATCTAATTCCATCCCAAATGTTCCAAACATCTTCCTGGATTGGAACATTTGAAAGCTGTGTAGATGTGTGAATTACTTAGCCTAGACATTTAGACAGACAGTAGCCAAAGCAAAATCATTTTGCTCAGTATGTCAGTCTAGCTACACACCATAGGAGCCTCAGCAGGTCAACCATTAACCCGAGCAGTATTGCACAGTGTCAATCACAACCTTCTATCGGTGTGGTGGGCGGAATGGTGCGCCAGAGTGGAATAACTAAGATGGCATCGGCGTGTTTGAAACAGCTTTAGCATAAACTTTAGATTTGGGCTTTTCTTTGAGTCAAGAACAGAGAGAGGAACTTAATTTTATTTAGAAAAATAATGTGTTTGCATCTTCAACAGTGTATGACAAGCTGCCCTGTTGACTGACAGCCGTAGAGGTGCATATGCATCTGAGCCATTATGTCAGAAGGGGACCTGTCACCCCCACACATTTGGTCCCCCCCCCCCCCCCCCCCCCATTTAATCCACCTTGTGGTTTTTCAAGCATTCTCAAAGAAATCCATTCCACTGGATTCAGTAGAAATTACTGAAAATTACAGTTGCTCTGCTCTGGTGCACACGTGGAGTGAAGGGTATCGCTGTAGACACGGAGAGACTGCAGGTTCAGCTCATTGAAAAAAATTTGGAGTGACATTTACTTAATAAAAGTTAGGAAAGGATTTACACACAGAAAGTGCTTATAATTTTTATTCAGGCTATTTCTATGTAATATTTACTTACTAGAACCACATATTGTTTAAGAAATATACATAAGTAAATTTCACTGGAAATACATTTAGATTGCAACGTTCACTCACATTACCAATGCATGTACACACAAAACCCAAGTAAATGTTACTCGATGTTCCTTTGCATTTATTTCTCATCTTTTTTTTTTTGTAATGTTTTAATGTATTTATTAAGTAATATTTATTAATAATATATTAGTTTATTTTAATCAAAATAT